GCGCCTGAATGTAATGCAGTGTTGCTCTTTCTCGTAATAACTGAAATATGCTGATGGCTGTACCCAAAACCGCTCTACTAGAGAGGAGATTGGGAAAATACAATTCTTGGCTAGCACAGGTAAAAATTATTTTAGAGAGAGTGATTTTGCCAATTCCTTTCATTTTGTGGCTAGGGAAACTGAGGCTGGGAAGGTCATGGAACCCTCTCAAGGTCATGCCACTAAGTCAATTCCAGATTCCAGGTTTCTTGCCCTTTCGGCCAAAGCCACTTTGCCCAAAGCAGCAGAAAACCTGCAGAAGAGAATCAGTGTGGCCCGGCGGGGATGGTGCCATCCATCTGAAGTCATTCTGGCTTCTGTCAGCTGATGAAGGAAATAAAGTTAATGACGCCCACATAAATGTGGCGCTGTCGCAGGACATGCAGAGGCTGTCTGGAGGGGAGCTCTGCAGGCCCTATGAAGAAGGAAAAGGTTTTGGATGTAGCTTTAAAGGGAGCACTGTTTCTTCTTTCTGCAGGGACAGGGACTGTGGCATCTGTCACCTCTGTCTCCCCTGCAGAGTATCCAATTTTGGACTGGACACATAAACACATGATCAATAGGTGCCTGGTCAAGAAATAAAGGCAGTGTTCGCAGGGAAACATGTTCATCCTGAGCCTTTGTGGGTATGGGCCTCTGTCTCTCATCAAGACCTTATACAAGGCTGGAGGGAACTTGGAGGTGTTAGAATCAGTCATTTGGTGAGAAAACTGAGTCCCTGCAAGGGAAAGAGACTTGTCAAAGCCATGCTGCAGGACGGGAGCAGAGCTGACTCTAGAGGGGGGCTCTCAAATCACAACCTGTCTGCTCTTTCCACCGCACCACATGGACGCAACCTCCTTCCTAAGGTGGGCTCCACAGCAGATTCCTAAATGCCCCCTGAAAGATCATTATCAATTTTGCAAACATGCAGAGGTAGGTGCTGATCCGTAACTCCGTTCACCTGCCTAGGGTCCTTGTCCAAGCTGTCCCATGGTAACAAAAGACATGATAGTTTCTCTTTCTCATGGTTTCTAAGCCCCCCCAAGAGTGACATTTTGATTGGCCCTACTGCAAACTTGCCCAAGGGGCTTCTTTCCTTAGGAAAAAGTCCTTGACCCATTTCAGTAGCTCCTAGACACTTTCTGCAGTGCCCGAAATGCAGTGGGTGAGATTTCAGGAGACTATAGCTATGCTACCCGGAGGACAAGATCCAGGTGGTCATCTGCCCCTCTCGGCAAGCTTGGAGACCAGGAAGCCGGAGGGGCCATTTCAATGGACAGCTCATTTATCTTTCAACTGGGTGGTTTTTCCAGGACTGGGATCTGAAAAAAATTCTGTTTGCCATGTTCCTTTTGACCCTAGTGTGTGTAGAAACATCTTCCCTTCAAGGTTTTGGTGACCTTTTGTAGCAAGTGACCACCATATTCAGTCCAAAACCCTGTGCAAGGAAGCATTTACTGGCATGGCAGATGGAACTGGCACCTAACAAAAAGCTGCCATCTTTTGGGAAAGCCACCCATGGCTGAGACTTGGTTTATCTCCTCCGTCTTTATTCCCTTCTTGAGCACAAACTAGGTCTCTTTTTGCTTCACTGGGATGCTTTTGTGTTTCGTGAGGGGCATTTTCTCAAGGAAACTAGACTTTCTTCCTTATTATAATTAGTACAGCAGAGAAGCAAATTAAACCGTTGTCACTCTAGACCAGTGGTTTTCAACTGCAGGCATTTTGGCCCCCCCAAATTCAGATTTTTGGCAGTGTCTGGAAAGATTTTTTTTTTTTTTTTTTTGGTGTGTGCCCCTAGTGGGAACCGAACCCAGGACTCTCTGTTCCGCAGGCTGACGCTCCAACTGCTAAGCCAAACTGGCCGGGGCTGGAGAGATTTTTGATCATCAAGACTGGGGAGGGGGTGCTATGGTGCCAAGGATGCTGCTAAATGTCAGGACAGCCCTCATCAAGATAATTATCCAGTTTAAAATGCCAATAGTGCTAAGATTGAGAAACATGGTTATTTATCTTGGGTCTATTTGAGTTACTGAGAAGGTGAGAAAATTATGGGGTCACCCTGGTCCTTTCCCACCCATAAGCCCCTGTAAGGGCTCTGGGAATCAAAGCAAGTTCCTTTTGACTTGAAGAAAATGCATTTCTACTATAGAATAACATATCTTTCTGGATATAAAGCCCCATCCCCACTGATAAAATAAAGAAACAAAATTTTGGTTATTGAATCCTGGTGTGGCACTTCTGGAAATTTAGCCCCACCAGCTCTTCAAATATCAAAGTAGGAAGTTCAGCCAAATCACCTCATTTTACTTATGGGGTCACGGCTGATGAGCACCGCAATGCTGTGTGTCTCCCCGGACCCTCGTCTATCTCCCCCTCAGCTCTTTCTAAGGCCTTGATTGTTCTGTGTTGGCACCGGATGAGATTTTTGCCTCATGCACTCTGATTGTTGTCTTGTTTGTTTTGCTGTCATTACTGTCATTTCGCTGGTTCTGTGCCGATGCAGCAGCACTCCTATTACCAAGGGTCTTTCCTTTTATACCCCCTCTTCTAGATTTCCCCAACAAGGTGAGCAGCTGGCACCTTTAATCTAAGGAGTACCTGGTGCCTGAGATGATTGGATTGTCTCATTTCAACACAGCGCCTGTTTCTTAGGGGAAAAGGGGTATTCACATGGAACTTTCTAGGGAGCTTCCAGTCTCCATTTGCCTCCACATGCATTCTATTGAGCCCCCCTCCCCAGATTTTAATGCTTCCTTATTTTCACCTAAAATTTGGAAAATGAAAGAGTTAGAAATGAAAATGCTAAATAGACAAAGATAATACTTTTCCTCTTTGTAACCCCCCCCCTTTTTTTCAGCTCTCTGAAAAATTGCTGAAGGTATTTCCCTAGTTCAGTTCTCATTTTTATTATTTTATGTTTTAGGACATTTCTGAAACAACATTGACTCCTCAAATGATGTAGCCATTTCTGTATTTTGAAAGTGCAGTGGTACCAATCCCTTTCCAGCTCTCCATAGTCATGGCTCTTCTTTCCTTATAAACACATGGAATTATATCCCATATCCATTGTAGCTCGTGTATGTCTTGGCACACATAGGGGAAGGAGATGTAGAGTGATGCTTTCTGGTAGGCCACCTCTAATTTACTTGAAGTATTGACATGGTGGGTTCATTACCTTATCAAAATGATTACAATGCAAACCTTTTAAACTGTGTCTCCCTTTTGTGAAAGACAATGTTTGGAAGAACAAAATCAAGCATTACATACTATTCACCAAGAAAAAAGAGTTGGAGGAGGGGAGGTGATGTGCTTGGTTTTATTAATTTGCTCTTTAATCTTTCTGGTTCAGTTCAGTTTCCATAAACCAAACAGAGAATCAATTTGCATACAAATGTTACCAAGTACTTCACCTCCACAGCATTTTACATTTGACTATACATGTAGGGGAGAAAGGATTTGATATTGTTAAATTAAGAGGATACTTTCTGTCCCCCCTCCCCCCGAAGTAGCTACATTTCACAGAGCCCTGGATTGTTACACTTTTTAAATTCTATCTGACTCCCAGAGTGTTTGCATTCTGAGCTGTGGGCAGCACTGTGGCCTATCAAAGAATTATTTGAACTGGAGATTAGAAGCTTTAGCATTGGTAGCTCAGAAAAGGAGAGGGGTCTTTTTTTATCTCAAGAGAAAGACATGAAGAAAGCTTACATATAGACCTTTACAATCTAGGGGGAGGTGTCATTCATTTAATAAGCCAAACGACAGATTAGTCAAACCAACAATTCATATGCAGAGCTCTCTACAGTATATTATAACAAACAAAAACCCAAAGAATTATTTGCTGGCTTATGATAGGAGAGAATAATACTTGATGGTTACTTATTTTAAAAAGGAACCTAGAGTAGGTTTTCCAAATTACTGTTAATCTAATGCCATGGTAAAACATGAGAGGCAGGCATCTATAATCAGGAAGATTAATGATCCCTGCAGGTCATGGAAGAAGAATAATTTATTTCAATTCATGTAAATGGAATTTATCATAACCATCTCTGAAGATGGCATGATTCACCCATTTTCAAAAGGACTATCTATTTCAATGCTTCCTGAAAAGGTGATTTTTCACTTTTTGCTTGTACTAATGTGAGAATGCTAAGCCTGTAGGCAGAAAATTTTAACCTGGGAAACAACGGGTGAGGGAACTCAGCTACTGAGTCAGGAAAATACACGTATTACAAAACAAAACACAAACAGGAATTGCCCATCAGTTCAGGATCTTCAGCTAACAAAGTAGAGTTTGGAAAGGTGAGTGGGGGGAAAGGAGAGACTCAAAGTTTCAAAAGGGAAATGTTTCCCAGAATCTGTTTCTAAATAGGTTTGCTGTGCACCCAAATGTAGGGCTTTACAACCTGAGATCATAACAGTATTATTTCCAAGCACTAAGCCTCAGCAACACGCTTCCACACCCCGCAGAAAAAGAAAACAACAAAACAGAAGAGAAAATGAAATGTTCTGTGTCCAGTGAGTTTGAATGCAACCTTCCCCGCCACCGCTAGTTGTCACTTGGCTCCCCCAGACGGGAGAGCTGAGGTTTTCGGCACTGCGGTTAGAGAGAATGCAGTCCTAATTAAACTGAGTAACTCCTAAAGCTTCCCCTTAAAGTCCCCAGCTGAGTGAGAGCCAATATGCAGGGGGTCTGGGGGGCCAGTGATGGTGTGGGGGTGTAGCAGGGGGAAGGACAAACAAATTACAAGAAACAGGTAAACAGCTGCCAGAGCAACGACTGTCTCAGACCTCCACGCACAAGCCAGACACCCTGCGGGCGGGGTTGGGGGGGTGGGGTGGGGGATGGAAGGACCCGATTGCAGCGGTATACGGCACCCCTCCCCCCCAAATAAAGGGATCACGGACAGAGTCAGCCTCCGTGCTCCTTTCCCCCATTTTCATCAGAGCGAGGTGGTCAGTAGAAAATTGCATACCTGAAGAATACAATGGTCTCCCAAAGGTAGAGTCGAAGAGTATTGAAGCTGTACATTTTCAGGTCCTTGTGCTTTGTAGTCCACGAGTTATGGGGCCAAAAATAAATGTTTCAAATTGGTACTTACAAAATCAGCGAGCGCTATTGAAAAAATAATCCAGATGCTAAGGGGAGGTGGGAAACGGGCGCGGAGGGAAAGCCCCAGGGGAAATTGGAGCGAGGGGGCTTTAGGTACCACGGACAGCAGCCGCCGCGAAGCGTTTCAGCACCACGGAGAGCGTCCAGCCCTGCTTTTCGAGAGCGCGAAGAGTATTGCTGTTTGTTAAACTCCAGCGTGTCTGTTGGCTCCCTGCGGCGCTGGGGAGGCACGTTTGGGGGTGGGTATATTTTCTTTTTTAACCGTTTTTCTGTTTAAACGGCTAGCTTCATGCAAGAGAAAAATCTTCTGTGGAGATCAGAGCGCTGGCCATGGACCGTTAGATTGGGCGAGCATCTTGGGTAGAGAGAGTAGGGCTTAATGCCCCTGGGCTGGCCTGAGGGGGTTAGGGGCGAGGGGAAGCGATGGACGGTGCTGCCTTCAGTTAAATCCCGGAAAATGTGCCAGGCTGGCGCATCGCGACCGAGTCCCGGAATCTCGTTCCCCTGCCTGTGTGTTGGTCTGCTGTCGCCTTGTGATCCCTGTTCTCTGTTCCCCGCCGAATAAGTTATGATCGCTGCAGGAAAGGTGTCCCATTGCTCGGGGCTGCAGACGTGAGAGAGCTCAGGGCAAGTTTCAGGGGCTGCCAGGGTCCATGGCGACTTCGTGGGGCTCAGGAGTCCAAGGCTTCAGATGCATCTCGGTTTTCTGAGCTCGCCCATCTTCCTTTTGCCAGGACTCCTTCAGATCTTCAGACTTTCTTACTGCATTAATTTAACAAACTGGCTGCGTTGGGGATTGGGGGGGGGGTGGAGGCGATGGCGGATGGGAGGGGGCGGACAGAAAAAAAAAAAGGGGGGAAAACTCCTTAGTATCTTCAAACCCTCCCACTCGAGGTGCTCATTGGCCAACGGCTGCAAAAACCAGATCTTTTCCCGGTGTTTGGCCAATCGCGTGTTAGACTCTGGGTTGAGTTTAACGCTTCCAGTGCTGGATGAGATCGCTTATCCCTCTCCTTTGCATGGGGGCTGTGGGGTAGAGGAGGTTATGGAGTTAATCTCTCCACGTCTCTCAAAACAATGCCTTGTTTTAAATAATGTAGTTGTATGTGAATAAAACAAACCCAGAGCCTCAGTTCAGACATGCTTCTGGGCTCATTTTATCATCTTAAATGGGAAGAATTGAACCAGATCTCAGAGTTTCTTTAGAGTTCTGAAGTTATAATTGGTCCCAGAAAAAAAAGGAGAGGTTTCAAAAAGAAGCCTAGTTGATAAAAGAAGACACTCCCTTCTACCCCCAGGGCCACTGCAGCAGGAAAATACAGGAGAAATTCCTCCAGCAATTTCCAGGATCAAGAGGGAGCAGTACTGATCTCAGAGATGGTACCTTTTTGGGAGATAAGGAAGATATGCCATCTTCCAACTAGACAGGAGGCTGTTTTATTTACATCTTATAAACTGGGGAAACAGAGCCACAGAGAGCTGTGACTTGTTCCAAAATAATGGTAGAGCCAAACTGTACATACAAGTATTTAGTACTTACTATTCCCATTTCCTGTTTTTTCTTCCCCCTGCTTCTCTGTTCTCCCACCTTATTCGAGTCTCAGAAACCAGCTAGCTATACATTTCACTCTAGAGCTCAGCTGGGGAGGTGGAGTTAATCAGATTTTCTCCAAGCTACTGGACTCTAGTGGATTAATGGCCTCTGTAGGATTTTCTGGCTGATTTGAACAGGCTGGGGCTCTGGGTCTCTCCCTGCCTGCCTACTAAGCCTCCCTCTTGCCCAGTAGGTCTAGGAACTCTTTCTTTTGAGTCTTTGGAGGCTGGGTTTCTCTGAAATAATTCTTAACAGTTCAGCTTCATCCAAGTCAGGCCTTCTAACAGAAAAAAAATCTGGAAAACTTTGTTCACCAGCTTCCTCCCTGCCCCTAGGGTTACAGCACACCCACATTCCTTCCTTTTTTATTGGCTCCCACACACCAGAAAATTAATGGGCTACTTGGAATTTCCATGAGGTTATGAGTAGTGACTGGAAAAATATTTTGCTTTGAAGGTGGGTATTCACATAAGTCTGATACAAATTTATATTATGTATCTATTGATCACTAATCTTTATTAGCATGCCTTCGATGTACCAGGTATTCTTGTACACTTCACATAGCCTCATTTTCTTGTTACTGTTGTACCTTGAGGCAAACATTATCTTTGTGAATGTATTTGTGTACCTATGTTCTTAGATTTGTGTATATGCTTGGGCCAGACAAGCATGTGTATTTCTGTGTACATAAATTGATTTGTGATTTGTATTCTGCCTAATTCTGAGGTTAATGTTTAGTGCATATGTGTATTTCGTGTTTGCAAGTGAGTCTCTGTCCACATAGGCAGAGAGGGTGGGCCAAAAGTAGGTTTACAGTTGTTTGTATGGAACATAAAACAATAATTAATAAATAATAATACCAGAATAAACTCCATTTTGTGTACTCACAACTGCAAATGTACTTTTGCTCCTCCCTTGTATATGTGTACATCTATGTGGGTCGTTGTACCCCCAGAGGTGCCAAAACAAGCTGTGAACTGGCAACTTTGTCCTTGGTCCTCGTCTGGTTAGGAAGCACCTGTGCAGGCATTGGGTATTGTAGGATACAGTGTGCAGAAGTTACTTTTTCTTCTCCTTCAGGGGATGCGCGCTCTCTCTCTCTTCCTCCCCCTTCTCTCTCTCCCCCCCCCCCGTGTGTGTGTGTGTGTGTGTGTGTGTGTGTGTGCGCGTGCGTGCGCGGTGTTGCTCTTTGTGGGTGTGAATACCTCAAAGCTGTGGCCTCTGCAGGAAGTGAGATTATTACCTGAGAGTAACTACTATCTAGTAGCTTCTGTTTAGTATGAGGCTACAGCTTTTATTTAATCAGCACACATGGATTGAGCATGTGCCAAGCACCGGGGATATGCCAATATGTAAGATAAATAGTACTTTGAGCTCCTGGAACATGCAGTCACTTCAGAGGTTCAGTGGGAAAAGTTCCTTATGGTTGTGAATCTGCACTTTTTACTCCATGTCTCACATACTTCTCATGCCTGTACACAGTACACCCAGGCCTTCCTGTGTAGGTCACTATTGAAAATAAATAACTGTAGGCTTGGAGGTCAGGGACTTAATGTTCTTATTGTGTCTCTGCCTCAGAAAGGCTGGATGATGTGGGATCAATGACCAAACTTTCTGGCCCTAAGTCAAATGAGGACAGTAATGCCTGCTCTTTGTACCACATGAAGCTGCATAAAAGAAACGGCATTCAGGTCTAATCTTATTGTGACTACCACACAATGAACACAAATCTGAATGGAAGGGAATGGATTGGCTTCTTCTGATGGCCCATTTCTATTGGTAAGTATTCTATGTAGCTTAATTCCAATACTTTACAGGTTCCTTATAGGTCTCTGTAACCAGATTTGAATCCTCCCAAGTATGAATAAATTTTGACACACACTGTGACTTATTATTAGAGGAGATTTGTTCTTTCATTAAGTCAACAGACATTTATTGAGCATTTACTATGTGTCAGGCACTATTCTAGGCAGTGGGGGTACAGCAGGGAACAAAGATAAAGATCCCTATTCTAACGGAGCATATTTTCTAGTGGAAGGAGACAGAAGATAAACAAGTAAATTATGATGCATTAAGCAATCGTAAGGATTGAAAAGGAAGAAGGATGGTAAAAGGAGAGAAAATGACAAGAAGGGGATATTTTATATAGGGTGGTCAGATCAGGTAATGCCTTCTAAAAAGGAGAGGTTTGAACACATGACTGGAGGAAGTAAGGGAATGAGTCATGTGAGCCCCAAGGAGGGGAGGGAGAGCTTTCCAGGCATCGAAAAAGCAAATGCAAAGGCCCTTCGAGGGAAGTGTGATTAGAGTGAACAAGAAACATCACGGAGACCAGTGTGCCTGGGTGGAAGGAAGGAAGGAAGAGTCCCAGGTTAGAGAAGTAGTTGAGGGCTAGATCATGTACTACCTCCAGGGCATTGTAAGGACTTTGGGTTTTATTCTGAGTGAACCCCACTGGGGCATGTGAGCAGAGGAGTAACAAAGTCTGAAACATTTTAACAAGATTAGTCTGGCTGCTGCATTAAAAATAAGTGGGGAGTGAAGGGGCAAAATGCAAGCAGGGAGGTTAGTTAGGAGCTACTGGGAAAAATCTATGCAAGAGGTTCTTAGGGACACTTTTATTTACAGAAGAGGAAAGTTATATCCAGATAGATTAAGTGACTTACCTCTTAGACTAGTAGCAGAGTTGGGGCAAGAATATAGGTAACCTAATCGGGGCTAAAGGACCTTTTCACTGTTTTTTTTTGGTTCCAACTAAGATGAAAGGCATGCAAGAGAAGGCAATGACATCTCTGAGGGAAGGGACTCTGCCTGACTTGTTACTGATATATATCTAGCACATGGCACAAGGCCTGGCACCTAGGAGGTGCTCAGTAAATATTTCTTGCAAGGATGAAGGAGTAAATAAGTGAAAGAAGACAAAACGATCCATGGAGAGGGCCCGAAGAGAGAAGAGAAAGAAATAGTGTTAGTCAGGTGAGATTATGTTGTTCCGAACCAGCTAATGTAATTCACACAATGCTGAGCCTCTGACCATAATGACATTCACAGAGGAGAGTGCTGGATACTCCAACAGTACTCTGACAGGCTTCCACGACACTTTGTAAAGGGAGATGGATATTCGGAGCAACTGAGTAGCTTGCCTCATTGTGCTGAAGTAGTATGATGAATATGGGTCTGAAAATGGGACTGTGAAAGAGCTGGAGGCTTACTGCCAGCCTTTCCTAACCCAACTTTGAGATGACTTGCTTCCTTTCTTTTTATTGCAAGGTAATAGTCTGCTCTTTGTGCTTTAAAGAAGGGACCTCAGAACTACTTGGGAAATTTCGGTGGCACCAGGAGAGTTTTCATTCATAAGAAGTAGACGCATAAAATACTGATAGACCTTCTCTTGCATTTTTTTTTTTTTTTATCCTCACCCGAGGATATTTTTCCACTTTTTGCACAGATAGAGTGGGAGGGAGAGAGAGGAAGGGAGAGAGAGAGAGAAACATCGACGTGAAGGGACACATCGAGTGGCTGCCACCCGCACGACCAACTAGGGCCGGGGACAAACTGCAACCGAAGTACGTGCCCTTAGCGGGAACTGAACCCGGGTCTCTCGGGATCGCAGGCCGACACTCTAACCGCTGAGCCAAACTGGCCAGGGCCCTT